CTTTCTCCGCGTCCACAAATATCAAAACTGCCTTGGTATTAATGTTCACTTGTAATTTCTCCAAAATGTTAATTATGTTTCTCGTATTATCAGACAAGTGTCTGCCAGGGAGAAAGCCTGCTTGATCTTTATGTATCTCTTCCACTAATACTTTTTTTAATCTTTTAGCCAAAATATCTGCAAAAATTTTATAATCCACATTAAGCAGAGATATGGGGCGGTAATTCTTAAGCTGTGTCTTCTCAGACTCAATTTTCGGTATAAGTGTGATGTACGCCTCCTTCCATGACTCTGGTGCTTTTTCCCCTTCCAAAATTTCATTACAGACTTCCTTTAGTGGTTGTATTATCCAACTTTTCAGAGATCTATAGTATCTTGAAGTTAAGCCATCCGGTCCTGGAGATTTACCCAATTGCATATTCTGGATGGCACCTTCTACCTCCTGTTCAGTTATTTTGTAATTCAACATTAGCTTGTTTTCTTGAGAGATTTTTTGTAGTCCATTTATTTTCAAAAATCGATCTATATTGATTTCTTTCTGTGGCCCTTGTGTATATAGTTGTTTAAAGTACCTCTGGAAACAATTTCTAATCTCCACTGGGTTCTGTATATTCTTTCCTTCCACTTCCAAATTTGTAACAGTATTAAGTTTTTGTCTTTTTTCATTTGCCAGGCCAGCAATTTCCCACATTTATTAGCCGACTCAAAAGTCTTTTGTCTCATCTGTTTAATTTTTCATTCTATTTCCTGATTCATCATTTTCATGTATTGTACTTGATGTAACTTTATTTCTCTCAAAATCTCTTGCGACTTTGGTTTTACTCTCAATTTCTTCTCACCTTCCTTTATTTTCTCCAGAATTTTATCTTTCTTCTCATTTTGGGTTCTCTTCTTTATTGCATTCTGTTGTATCAGGAACCCTCTCATGACCGCTTTACTTGCGTCCCAGATTACTCTTTTTTCAACAGTAGTATTCATATTAATCTCAAAATAATCTCTCAAGGTTTTTTGGGCCTTCTTGATCACTTCTTCATCCCTAAACAAGGTGTCATTCATCCTCCATCTGAAAGAGCCAATTGGTGTTAGTTTCATCTCCATCTTTACAGCATTATGGTCGGAGCAGGTTTTAGGGCAAATTTCCACTTTTCTTGTCTTTGGAGCCAGTCCTCTAGTTACCCAAATTTGGTCAATTCTTGTCCATGTCATTTTGGCTTCAGAAAAGAAAGTTCCCTCTCTGCCCAAGGGGTTCTTTGTTCTCCAAATATCAACTAAATCCAAATTGTCAGTCATCTCAAAAAAGGTAGCCTACCGTCCTTAGTGACTACCTGTCTCTGTGCCTTGTCCATATTTGTGGATACCACTCCATTCATGTCCCCCATCACGATCACATTGTAATCCAAATAGTCCATCAGAGTCTCATGCAACTTTTTTTAAAAAAACTGATTTCCCCTCATTTGGTGCATAAACTCCTACTATCAAGAATTTCTCTCCTTGTAGTTGAATTTCAATTGCCACGAATCTTCCTTGGTCATCTTTAAATATAAATTTCGGTGATAGGCTTTCCTTTGCGTAGATCACTACTCCCCTTTTTTTGACTTTGTCCGATGAAATAAACTCTTGACCCAGTCTTTTGTTAATCAATACTTTTCTGTGTAGCCTTACCACATGTGTTTCCTGTAAACAAATCAAGTCCAATTGTTCCTTTTTTAATAAATGAAAGACTCTTTTCCTTTTTTGAGGGGAGTTATAGTCGGGTCAATTCAATGCCTAAGCCAATTACCGCTCCCATTCTGTAATCAATAAAGTTGTGGCCAAAAATTGCCCAATAACATTAACCTATTATTTGTGTCCTGGTGTGTTTTATTCTTCAAACGGGTGTGTGTGTGGGGGGGGTCTAGATACTCAACTGAAGGCAGCATTCCAAGCCCTTCTACCCAGTCCTGGGGAGCTTCTCCAAGAAACACCCCTCCCAGGCTGGCTCACCTTGAGTGTTGCAATGTGCCCTTTAATTATGACAATATCTCTTACATAGCTCAATGGAGGATGAAGAGATGTGTGTTTTAGGGGTGGGTAATGGTGGGGGGGGGGGTTATTCTATGGAAACATCAGGCTTTTGTGTGACTTGAACATAGCCTACTATACAAAGCGACATACGTTGCTCAGCCTACCTTTGCCTCTGGCACCTCCTACAACTAGTATATGATTCCTGGAAGGTTGCCCCTCCCCAAGCCAGAGTTTGCAAAAATGTCAGATGATGTTGCCCACTGTGGACTGCATTAAAAATGGAGGGACTCCTCAATCACCTGATGAACCATAGTAAGTGGCTGGTTTGGTGGGTCACATACTGGACAGGGCGAAATGCAGTGCAAAGACAGGACACAAAGTGTGGTCCCATATCTAGAAATTGCTCTACTGCCCCTTCTATCCCCACTATTGTACTCCCCTGTCCAGGCGCTGTGGGCTTACTGAGCCTCTTGGGCTTACTGATTGGAAGATCAGCAGTTCAAATCTGCGCAACGGAGTGAGCTCCCATTGTTCTGTCTCAGCTTCTGCCAACCTAGCAGTTCAAAAGCACGCCAGTGCAAGTAGATAAATAGGTACCACTGTGGTGGGAAGGTAAACGGCGTTTCTGTGCACTCTGGTTTCTGTCACGGTGTTCCGTTGCGCCAGAAGCTATTTAGTCATGCTGACCACATGACCCGAAAAGCTGTCTGTAGACAAATGCCGGCTCTCATGGCCTGAAAGCGAGATTAGCGCTGCAACCCCATAGTCACCTTTGCCTGGACTTAACTGTCCAGGGGTCCTTTACCTTTACCTTTTACCTACAAAGCATTATGATACTACTTAACAGTTATAGCTCCCCCCCCCAAAAAAAAAGAATCATTGGAGCTGTAGATTGTTAAGGGTGTTGAGAGTTGTTAGGAGGCATCTATTCTTCTTCCAAGGCTACGACTCCCAGAACAAACAATACCTCTTCACAAGGAACTTTGGGAGGGAAATAAAGGTCCTCTGACTCTCAGCACCCTTAGCAAACCACAGCTCCCAGAATTCTTTGGGAGATGCCATGGCTGTGGTATAACGTTTTACATGTGTGGTGTGAACATGGCCCTCATACAATGTTTCCTAATACGACACCTGTGGACACCTAACATAGTACCCACAAGGCACCCACCTCTTGTTGCGTCTCCATTCAGAGATGACTTTTAAAATAATAATAATAATAGTAATAGTAATAATAATAATAATAATAATAATAATAATAATAATAATTTATTTGTACCCCGCCCATCTGGCTGGGTTTCCCCAGCCACTCTGAGCGGCTTCCACAGAGACCAGAAATACACTAAAATATCACACATTAAAAACTTCCCTGAACAGGGCTGCCTTAAGATGTCTTCTTAGTGTCAGGTAGTTGTTTATCGCTTTGACATCTGATGGGAAGGCGTTCCACAGGGCAGGCGCCACTACTGAGACGGCCCTCTGCCTGGTTCCCTGTAGCTTTGCTTCTCGCAATGAGGGAACCGCCAGAAGGCCCTTGGCGCTGGACCTCAGCGTCCGGGCAGAACGATGGGGGTGGAGATGCTCCTTCAGGTATATCTTGTTTGTTTGTTTGTTTTACATTTTCACAGGACATCCTGGGCAGAGAAGCACCAGCAGAGGCTTCATCCAGCAGGCATCTTCTGAATGCCTGTGGCACTACAAAACAGAGGCTCCTACCCCACCACCCAGGTGTGTTGGGTGTGTAGCCAAGGGAGCAACAATGGTGGGTGGGGAAGCTAAAGCAGAAGGAGAAGGGAAGGACACATATAGGTGTGTATCAGTTGTGTGACTGTATGTGAATGGATGGAGCAGGTTGTGATGGAAGTGTGTGTATGAAAGAAAAATAGAGTTGGGGGGCAATACTGAGAGAGTAACAGAATATAGTAAATCCAAGTAGGTAGCCGTGTTGGTCTGCGTATTCAAAATAAATTAAAACAAATCTTTAATGTAGCGCCTTAGAGACCAATTGAGTTTTGTGTGTGTGAATGTAGTAGGAAAGAAAGAAGAAATCCAACCTTGTGATGTTCTGATCATTCTGTCAGGGAAAGCATTTTGGCTTTTCAGACAGAAGGGTGCTGTTCCAGGGGTTCTCTGAACCTCCCCAAACCAACTTTGGGGATGCACGGGGGAAAGAGGAAGGAGGCCCTGTTGTGCAAGCTGAAGTCCTTGCACAGGGCTTTCCCCAACATTACTCATTATTTGAATCCTGCCCGATGCGTTTTGAGATGAGTGATCCAGGGAGAGTGTGTGCGCACGGACATGTGTTTTGGAGTGACCTACTATTGGCCTCTGTCAACTGTTCCATACTGCCTCTTCTTCAGCATGGGATATACAATTTGCTCCAAAGCTAATCTGACCTCAGTGGTCAAATTCTACTTGTAGTGCTGGGCTTTTAATCACCTTCTGTTGTTGTTTTTTTTACAGTTTTGTAGCTGGATTGTTTCATATGTATTTTTCTGAAGAATGTTTCGCATTATTTTAAATTGCCTTGAGAGAGCTTTGCCATGAAAAGTGATATATAAATTTCCCAAATAAATAAACAAGTGGCAAATGGATTTATCCCCATCTGATAAACACACACACACACACACACACACACACACACACGTATTAGGGCTGCCCCACTTTGTGGCTGGAGTGGAAGGAACAGTGGTAAATAGGCTTTTTAATCAACTAGGCATTCACTAAACCCCTCAGGCTACCCTGCAGCTTATATCATCAGACTCTCAATGAAGAACCAGGAGAACATTTTACAGCATTTTCCTCTTACTCATTAACTTGGCAGAGATAAAATATGAGTTTCTCACATCAGAAGGAAATGAGCTCAGTCCCAAGGCAGACACTGGAAGCCATAGACTCCCACTTTTTATGATGGTTGAGCCCTGAAACCTTGTTCCTGTTTATACCATAAAGTGGTCGTATTGACAGTCCTCAGTATCTGATCCTTTCTTTGTGTATAGAGTTTCCTACTACTCTAGGAAAAGTCCTGCACATTGCCACAACAAGTCATTATCAGCTCATTTCCTGGCGCTCCCGCCCCCGGTCCACATATCTTTTGGCTTTGAGAAATTTTCTGAACGCCAAGAAAGGCAGTGTAGCAAATATGTTCCTTCGAAATGTCAGACACAACGCCAACGTCGCAGGAGTGAGTACCACTTTTGGTTACATTGTGTTGTGAGGAGAAGAAAATAAACACAGGGCCTTTCCCCTCACGAATCCCTTTCTGTTAGGATTCTGGTTATTATTCTAGACTTCATGTTCCAATATTCATGTGATAAACATGTTTCAGATATTTCTAGCAATTTAAGTATCTGATGCAGCATCAAGAATACTGATAAACCTGTGATTAAATAAGTGTGTCATTCTTTTCACACAAGAACAATAACAGCACATCAAACGTATTTTGGTGTTCTAAGTCCTTGTGGCATGTATTGTTTATTTGCCTACAATCTGAATTAGATGCGTAAATGGTATGTCGTAAGTTCCAGTCTTTGTTTTTTTACTAGACCTGCCACAAACATAGTTGCTGTTCTTGCAACATTAACAGCCCATTGTCTAAACTCGTGGCACATGTGTTTTGAAGCTGTGGCAGCAGCAGAGCTCTTGATTGTTTCCCATTCAATTTGCTTCCACAAATAGGCTCAGTTACCCACAAATCAGGGGTTGTGGGCAAACTCTTTTCTGTTGTTCTGGTTATCCCTCCTGCTTTGGTATAATGAGTTTACTAGTTAATCTAACCCTCCTTTATAAGTATCTTCTCCCACACTGTGAACATTGCTCAAGAATAATGTCTTTTATTTCAAAACTGGAGGCTGAGCAGATTGGATTTTCCTTTAGCAGGTTGGAGCCAAATAACTTCTTGCAAACATGCTAGAGACTTAAATAGGGCAAAATTATTGGTTTGCTTTTAATTGAAGGGGCAGATTATGTATCAGTTTGATCTGTTTGATCTTATTTGATTCTAAAAACCAATATACCGTGTGCTGTCTAGTTATTTGCACCTCAGAGGACAGGTGGTCATGGGGCCTTGATACACAAATCCATTCACCCTTTATCAGGTGGGCGGCTTTGTGGGTGGCCCTGGGCCTCCCTGGTAAGCCACCCTATCACAGGCCAATGGCAACAGAGATTAGTGGGCATTCCCAGCCAGTTGTGCCCTGGGGAAGTTTATATGCCCAACCTGTGGAAATGTGAGGAACTGAATTTAAGACTGGAAGAAATTGAGAGATTTGCCCATCCCTACTTAAGGATGTCGTTTGTAAGGTAAAGGAACCCCTGACCATTAGGTCCAGTCATGGCCGACTTTGGGGTTGCGGCCTCATCTTCCTTTACTGGCCGAGGGAGTACAGCTTCCGGGTCATGTGGCCAGCATGACTAAGCCGCTTCTGGCGAACCAGAGCAGCGCACGGAAATGCTGTTTACCTTCCCGCTGGAGCGGTACCTATTTATCTACTTGCACTTTGACATGCTTTAGAACTGCTAGGTTGGCAGGAGCTGGGACCGAGCAATGGGATCTCAACCGTCACGGGGATTCGAACTGCCGACCTTCTGATCGGCAAGTCCTAGGCTCTGTGGTTTAACCCACAGCGCCACCCGCATCCCATGTCGTTTGTAGTACTGCATAAATAAGCAAATACATGCAATTTAAAATGCTTACAATACCTAAAACTTTTTAAATAGCTAGTGCATTCAAAAACACACACAGGCAACTTTTAGAGTACTTCAAGTGAATAACACTGACAGGCAAATTATTTCCTGCCCTTCCCATGCCTATAACATGTGTGTTTCTTGTGATGCAGCAAACAGAAATGGAACTAAAGCAGCAAAGTGAAACTTTCTTGCTGATCAAAAGGTCGGCGGTTCGAATCTCCGTGGTGGGGTGAGCTTCCGCCGTTCGGTCCCAGCTCCTGCCCACCTAGCAGTTCGAAAGCACCCCTAAGTGCAAGTAGATAAATAGGTACCGCTTTATAGCGGGAAGGTAAACGGCGTTTCCGTGTGCGGCGCTGGTGCAGGCTCGCCAGAGCAGCTTCGTCACGCTGGCCACGTGACCCGGAAGTGTCTTCGGACAGCGCCAGCTCCCGGCCTCTTGAGCAAGATGAGCGCACAACCCTAGAGTCGGTCAATTCTGGCCCGTACGGGCAGGGGTACCTTTACCTTTACCTTACCACGGGGGGGATTTCTCCAACTGGAATCTTACCATAATTTCACTGGAAGTGGATTAATGATATGTATCGGAAACAACAGGGCTTCTCTAGCAGAACACTAATCTGCCGCCCTGACGGGCCTTTTCCATCTCTAATTACTATGATTTTCATACTAATCAGGTCTCTGGAGGGGTGACAAATGTGGCACCAAATGTTCTGACACGATGCAGGACATGACTGCAGAGATGATGCAGGCCCCCTTCTTTTTGGCAGAACAACAAGAAAGCACTTAAGTCGTGCACATTTCCCTTTCTATCTTTATGCATTAATGGGAAGTAGGAGCGGGGGAATGGTGCATGTGTAACAATGCTGTGCGTTAAGCTCTATAGCAGATAGATAAATAACAGGGACTCTGTTCTTCTCCATTGGCTCGTGTTGACTGACATTCCTGTGACTTACTGGTGCGAGTCTGCATTTTGTGCGTCTACTATGATGATGTAGTAGTCTCAGGCAGCAGGCAGTGTGGCAGTTACTATGGCAACAAGATTTCCCCCCCCCACCGAAGAATGGCTAAAATGGAGGAATAGAAATAACATCTGTACAGTATGTTGTCTCTCAGAGAGCAAAGGTGTGCAACTCTTAACCAGTGAATAACTGAAAGGACACAAGGTCCTCTCCCCTACCCTGTCCATTATATCCTTGAGAAGACCTGATGATGTGGATCTAACATCACGGTTACCAACCTGTTCCAATTTCTACTTTTTTATTTGTGTAAGGGTTCTGATGTCTGGAAATGTGGTGGGTGTGGTTAAGCAAAAACAAATTGGTAACTAGAAGCAAAAAGAAAGTCTACTGAAATCATCAACCCTCACAGCTGATTCTTAAATCCAAACTGAGATTTTAAGATGAATGAAAGACTTGCTCTGGAATCTAACAAAGGCAGGATTTTACTGTGAGCCAGAGGTGGAATCCTGGAGAGCCTGTTACAACATTTCTAAGATCTCACTTAGTTGCTTTCCAGCTGTCATGACTTGGATACTTCATAGATTAGTGGTGTGATTGGATCCTGTGGGCTATGCTGGTGAAGTCAGAGGAGTAGAATCAAGCAGAATGAGCAGATCACAAGAACATCAGAAGAGCCTCCTGGATCAGAGCAGTGTCCCATCTAGTCTGGCATCTGTTCTCACAGTGGCCCACCAGTTGCAATGCTTCCCATATGGTGGGAAGCTCATAAACAGAACTCAAACACAAAAGCAAGTCTCCCTTCCTGTGATTTCCAGCAACTGATATTCAGAAGCGTGCTGCCTCCAACAGTGGAAGTGGAGCATGGCCATCCTGGCTAGTAGCAGAAGAAGAGTTTGGAATTGATACCCCGCCTTTCACTCCCCTTAAGGAGTCTCAAAGCGGCTAACAATCTCCTTTCCCTTCCTTCCCCACAACAAACACTCTGTGAGGTGAGTGAGGCTGAGAGACTTCAGAGAAGTGTGAGTGGCCCAAGGTCACCCAGCAGCTGCATGTGGAGGAGTGGAGACGCGAACCCGGTTCACCAGATTACGAGTCTACCGCTCTTAACCACTACACCACACTGGCTACAGCGTAGCCATTGATATGATAGCCTTTATCTCCAAGAGTCTGTCTAATCCTCTTTTAAAGTCATCCAAGTTGGTGGATATCACTGCTTCCTATAGAAGCAAATTCCTAGTTTTACTAGACATCTGTCCTGAATCCTTCAACTTTCAGCTTCATTGGATGTTCACAAGTTCTAGTGTTTTGAGAGAGAGAACCGTTTATTTATCTGCTTTCTCCATGCCATGAATAATTTCTTAGTCTTTCATGTTGCCCCTTTACTCGCCTTTTCTCTAAACTAGAAAGTTCCAAATGCCGCAACCTTTCCTCATATGGTAGTATCTCCACCCTGTTTTGGTTTCCCTTCTCTAACTCTGCAATATTTGAGGTGAAGCAACCAGAACTGTACACAGAATTCCAACCATGTCCCTCCTTTGTGGTTGTTATTGATATATAAATGATGACCTCGCATAGAAGCACTACAATATAGAAACCTCTCTCTTCTCTTATTCCTCAGAGCCACTTCAGCCTTTCCAGCCAAACAGGAAATACAAGGGAGTCCTGCTTCCTTTGTTCGTGCTTCCACTGCAAAGGACAAGATGTGGGAGTTGTCTCAACCTCTTGACATGTGTGACTCCCTTTATAGGAAAAGGTGAAATGAGGAAGTGGGAATCACTTCTTGTAATGTGTCACAGCCTTCTGTGTCTGACTTGTAAGATTCCAAATATAGACAAAACACTGGAAACTAAATATCCCTGGCTGGTCAGACCTCTACGATTTATGTAGTACTACAAATGGCATCCTTAAGTAGGAATGGGCAAATCTGTAACTTTTTGTTTCCTCTCAGTTTCTCTTTTCTTCCAATCTTAAGTTCAGTTCCTCACATTTTCACATCAGATTGTGATTTTTAAAAAAAGAAAAAGAAAAAAGAAAAGAAATGGTGCTCATGGAAATTAACCATCATTTTAGTGCAAATTGATTGGAATACATACATTTATGTATTAAATTTTGTGTGATATACATCCTTTTTATTTTTAAAAAATTAGCCTAATAATGCATGTTTATGTTATTTTCACTAATAAATTCATTTTTATGTAAAACGTACCCTAATACATGCATTTTTAATGCATTACTTGCCTGGAGAACTGGATTGCAAAATTTGGAGAAGTGCAAAGTTTGAAGAATGGCTGTTCAGGCGGGAACGGCTGGGGAGGGCGGGATATAAATAAAATTTATTATTATTATTATTCACATCTTGTTTGGGAAAATGTGAATTTTCAGCTTTAAATGTGAACCGAATCAAATTTCTTCCCTGTCTCAATCCTCAAACAATGGAGTTGTTTCTGCATGGGACCATAACTTGTAATGCTGCTTCCCACATGGATCATTGGCACCTCACAGAACATTGCTATGTCAACACCACACATTTTTGCAG